GGCTCAACCTATTTTGCCTAATTAGTCTCATTCTAGTCTAATTTGCTACCCGTTTGATGGGTTATTCTCTAATTCGACCTGGGTCGACACTGATTTGACCCGTTCACCAAAATTTCAACTAGTACTTCACTTTTTTTTTTTATTGGTTCAACATTATTTAGGTTCAACATTATTTAGGCTCGTTTTAGAACATTTATAGTAAGTCTAAGCTAATTTGAGGGTTCTTTAAGCATGTCTAAGTGAGATTTGTGGGTGTTCCATAGCACTCGTGAGTAATTTCCAACATCATCGAGTTACGTCGAGGATTTAGATAGCTGTGAAACATGATTTTCATCAATTATTTGGACACAATACATCGTGATCGAATGATCTATGTTGTATGATATAATTTCTAAATGTGAACTATCGTTTTACTATGTTAAAAATCATATGGTTTATAATGTATATATGCAGCCATGTTATTATGTATGTCAACCACGTTATTGTATGATGAAAGAAATGGTAGCCATGATGATTTTAAATAATGAATATATGGTAGCAATGAGAGTGACAATAAAGTTTATGGAAGAAATTATTATGATTTACATTATGAGTTATAATGTATGTTTATTAATTTGATGAATTATATTTGGATATAAATCAATCAATTAAAATAGATTGCTAAACAAAATCAATTTACTAATTAAACTTAATTTATTTAAATTAGTTCCCTAAATAAAATCTACAAATTAACTAAATTGAATTGAAATTAAATTCAATTACATAGAAAAAAGTTCATATAAAATAAATTTCATTTTAAAATATTAATTTAAAATAACAAAATACCTCATATTAAATAATGCACCCAACTCAAACCAATTTGGAATAGTTCGAACAGGTCGTTTATTCAAAATTTTGTTTAATAACGTATTTTTTTTATTTTTAAATATTTAATTAAGCTAACATATATTTTGAAAATTTATTTCTTAAATAATTAAAAATTATTTTTAAGAGTAAGAATAAATAATCATAAAATTAAATAAAAATAAAATAAATATATGTTATATCATATATATATATATATATATATATATATATATATATTTAAAAATAATAATAAATTCGTTGGTCTGGTTCCTCTACGCCTAGGACACCAGAATATCAAACCATGAACGAAGAAAGGCATGAGAGAAGAGCATATTGGCTAGTGATTGTGAGGTCCCAATTCTTGACGGGAGGGGACACCAAAGGCCTCTGCCCTTCCTTATCCCTTGGATAGATAGAGAGGGAGGGTAGAGCTTTTTTTGGTTTTTTTCATGTTGTTTGAACAATGGTTTTTTCGTGTTGTCAAAGAGTTGAACAATGTGTTTCGGTCGATAACTTATGAACCAACCCAATTCATAATAATTTTCATTTATTTAAATCTAACCTAACTCAAACGGTACCAGTTAGGTTGGGTTGGGTTGGTCAAGTTTTTCAGATCATCGATTTTTTTTTTTTTTTTTTTTGTATATTTATGTGTAACCAAACATAATAATCGATTATTTCTAAACATTTTATTATCATATATTTATTATTCGACCATCCAACCAGATTTAAATTCTCAAATTTCACATATTTTATAATATTCATAAAAGAAAAAGAAACTCAATTATTTTGTAAATTTATTTCTATTCAGAAAAATGTCCCTATTTGCTTTTTTTTTTGTTGAAAATATTATTAAAACAACTCATAATTATCCAAATTATATTTCGAACAAAAAGAAAAAAAAGAAAATATTGATTTTGTTGAAAAATAAATGGATATTAAATTGACAATGAATAGGCCAACACAGAATAGAATATGAATATGACGTCAGTGTGCGGACACGTGTCGTGCAGCGCAGGTGGGAAGACATTAGAAACCGACGCTGGAACAAGAAGAGTTCGATTGGATTAAGGAACTCTTTAAATCAAATTTAAGTATTTATTTATTTATGAATAAATTAATAAAATGTCTTAAAAAAAATATTAAATAAATTTTTAAAAGTTTCAATAATATTCTTATTCTTAAAAAAAAATTCAAAAATACAGTAATACCGAGTTCTAAAAATATCTATGAACTTTTTAAAGTATTATTAAAAAGTTTAAAGATAATATCTGTGACGTCCATAAATAGTTTTCATCCATATATCGACCGCAATATTTTTTAAACATAGTACTAATACTTTTTTAAAAAGTGGAAGATTATTAATGAAATTTTTTTAAATTTAAGAATATTTTTTTAGATACTACGAAAAGTTTAAGGATGTTTTTAAAACAGATTACTCAAAACCTAATCGGGAGATTAATATGGCAAAGACTGCGTAGATAAAACTACTACCACCACATGTATCGAGTGACTTGATATGCTTTTGAATGGTAAACATACTCAAAATTAACATACGTTGTTAGCTGTCTTATGTCACAATCGTACTCTTGTGGCAGTGGGATAATGATTGTGCAGCACTTACTCTAACTCGATAAACAAGTCAGTCGTATGAAAATCGTAAGTCGAGGACAATTTAGACGTATGGTCGAACATCGGTTATGTTTGGGAGAAGGTGTATAGAAAACGTGAGCAAGAAAATAATTGGTAAGAAAGCAATGTTATAAGCTAAAAGAAAATAAGCAACAACCACAACCTTTGATAGCATATAATACATCTTCGTGTATTTTAGCCTAGTTTGTGTAGACATGATTTTGTTGAACTGTCGTACATGATCGGGATTTTGTTAAATCAAGTAAAAGGGATTTGAAATGGGCATGCAGCCATGGGCAACACGTTCTGGACAAGCATGACCGAGACATATGCACGCAACCACAAGTAACACGCCTTGGACAATGATGCCCATGACATCTTGCATACCTTGTTCTTACATGAAAGAAAGACGTTTCGACAAAGGCTAAGTATTTATAAAATAAGTGACTACAGTATTCGGGTTTTAAAATGCAAATACAAGCAACATGAACCATTTTTATACACAGTCTTATATGCACCATTTTTATACGAATAGAACCCACCAAATTCATACCACTTTCAAAATTCTTGAGTCTCAACGAGTACACAACACTTTTGTACGCACTGACCCTATAATTTTTCATACTTTCATAAAGCACATTCGTACATGTGATCCTCAATTTGAAAACATCAGCTTTCGAAATATGATGCAACATCATAAATACTTCCTTTGAAAAATGGTTCTCATAATGCACATGACTAACATAAATACGTCATTAAAAAACTTATACCTAGCATTTAGGCATAAATGACAGCATAACATACCCACGTCGTAGACATCATGTCAATGGATCAAGCAAAATAATACACATCATACAATCCGCCAAACCTAGCATATAGCGTCCTACAGTTAGTTCCTCCTCGATCATAGTGTAACAAGTTCTACACTTGGTTATCCAACTCATAGATGTAACTCATACACGTTTAAACTACTCACAAATATGCGTAATTACCCCGTTATTCATAAATTCTATTTAGATATGTTTAAAGTGTCCTCGAATCTACTTTTTTACCAAACATGGTCTAAAAAAAACCTTAATTTGTAGAACGGGCGATAAGGAATCAATTTAAGGGAAAGCTCTGATACCAAATGATAATGAATCACTACAAGTGAAGTAAGATTCAGATTAGCTGCTTGATCAAATATCTCAAGGCAAGAATACTTGTTTGAGATTTAAATCACTCCACAAACAAGATCGATTATGTCTAGCTTGAATGATTTTAAACATGCAAACTAAATTACATAAGATTGTAGACTAATTGCAGACTAAAGGAAAGGTAAGAACACTTAGTCCTAATGATAAGGAATCACCGAAGGGAAAGTAAAATTCGATTACCTTGTTGATCAAATATCTCACGGCAAGAATACTTAACTGAAACTCGAATCACTCCACAAAAAAGGTCAATCATGTCAAGCTTGAATGATTCTAAACATGCAATCTAAACTACGTAGAATTGGGGGGAAAATGTTCATTTTACTGCATTTTTCAAGTCTCCTTTGCAAAGACAACATACATTATGTATATAGCTATCTTTCGTATTGTATGACCATAGTTAGTCAGTATGTAAATTATCATCTACAAAAAATTTGTAACCACGTAAGAATAAATAAAGCTTGATTCTTCCTTAAATTGGCGTGAATTGCAACATCTCATAATAATTTGAACAACATTTTCTTCGCATCTTTCTTGAAATTTATATTACATGATTAATATCTTGGTTCATATCAACTAACTTAAATCATGTTGATCTAATCAAAACAGTAAAAAACTACTCAAATTTTGGGTTGAACGAATCAAGCTAGGGTCGAACCAGGCTGAAGGAGTGGAGAATTGAACTGACGTGAGCACTAGACACGTGAATCGATCGGGTCAAGGTGGGCTAGTCGAATACGCACGAGACACGTGGGGCGACTAAGCTCGTGTAGAAGAGAACTAACATTATTTAAAAAAAAAAATTAAAAAAATTAAAAATTAAAAATCTAGAACCGACCATTGGTCTCCAATGACCTCTTAGAACGTGAGAATCTTACATAACGTACACTTCCACCGACTCTCTCATTTCCCGAACCAAACCAAATACTAACGCCTTCCCTGGGCCCCACCCCTTTGCCGACCCTCAACGTTTTTATCTAATCAAGGCCGACATAACCCGGTCCCACCTCCTCATCATTCCATCTCCTTTCTCCACGTGTCTCCTTCCCATTGGCCGATCTAGAACCTTCGTACACCGTGTCCTTCTCTCTCCTACTTTCCCCTTTTGACTACTCCCACCCGCGACTACCCAAATCCACCCCACTCGCTTTCTCAACCACCCACGTGGAGAAACTAAACACGTGTCGGCGAGTGTGTAAAGCGTGAGAGTCCGCGAGGGTGTTCATAATGAAAAAGGCAAAAAGAAGACATTATTATTTTTTCCTCCTCTTTTATTAATTATTAAATAAATAATAATAATAATAAAAATAATGTATTGGGCGTTACGATCAGGCGCGTTGGATCAGCGTGGCGCGTATGGTTACACCTATAAAATGGTCCACTTGGAAACCCACTAACCCATTCATTCACTGACTCGTTCATTCACTGCTAAAAATCTGTCCTTTATTGCGATCTTGTGAACTTGAAAGCTAGCCATGGCCGACGCCGAGAACAAGAAGCTCGAGGAGGGTGCCGGCGAGGGCGCCGTCGAGGCTAAGGATCGTGGGCTGTTTGATTTCTTGGGGAAGAACAAGGAGAAGGAGGAGGAGAAGCCTCCTCAAGTTGTAGCTCCACCGGAGGAGGTGGTGGTTGTTAGTGAACAATTTGAGAAAATTGAGGTTTCTGAACCTCCGCCGCCGGTTCATAAGGTGGAGGAAGAAGAGAAGAAGCCTAGCTTGTTGCAGAAGCTCCACCGATCCGATAGCAGCTCTAGCTCGGTAAGTTGTAATTGATTCATCGATCTTAACGAACAATCGAATTGGAATGAATTTGTATGTTTCATGATTATTAGAAATGCTCCCCGATTAATAAATCATGTAAAAACTAAATCATGTGACAAGTATGTCGTTATGGTTAGAAATCACGACTCTTCACAATGACATGATACTGTCCAATTTGAGCATTAGCTCTAGTGGGTGGCTTTGGTTTGGGCTCACCCAAGAGGACTCGTATCAATAGAGATGTATTCATTACTTATGAACTCATGGTCATTCCCTAAATTAGACTGGGACTCCTTCCCAACAATCTTCAACACTTATAATATAACACGTAATTAAAATTTGACTTCTGACATGTTGGGTATGGTTTGCAGTCGAGCGATGAAGAAGGAGAAGACGGGGAGAAGAAGAAGAAGAAGAAGAAGGGTTTAAAGGAGAAGTTGAAGGAAAAGCTCGGAGGAGGAGAAGAGGAGAAGAAGGAAGAAGCGGTCGCCATCCCGGTTGAGAAGGTAGACGACGATGCACATCCCGAGGAAAAGAAAGGGTTTCTAGACAAGATCAAGGAGAAGCTTCCGGGGCACGGCAAGAAGCCCGAGGAAGCTCCATCGGCTCCGGAGGCACACTCCGGGGAGCCAGTGTCTCATCCCGAGGAGGAGGGGAAGGAAAAGAAGGGATTTTTGGAGAAGATCAAGGAGAAACTCCCAGGATACCATGGCAAGGAGGAAGAGAAGCACAAGGAGGAAGCAGGGTCTCATTGAAGATGATGGGTTAGCTCATAATCCATAATCATTGTGGCGTGGATTTGTTAATGATCTTATCGCTTTGGTTCCTTTCTTTTGTTGTGTTTTTTCTTTTCATGTGCATATGTATGGGATTTGCTTTAAGGTGGGGAAGGGATGGGATGTGTTTTTCTTTTCATGGTATTTAGTTCTTGTGTGTGTTCGATAATGTTTTTTAAAAAAAGTATTAATGAAGTCGTTATTTATTATATATATATGTTCGTTTTGAATCGAAGGACCTAAAACTGGTCAACTTTATCAATGTTTATGTGTATAAACGATTGTTACATATAATTTGCATCGAGATTATGTTACCTATCTTATAAGATGATCGGAAGAAGTTATCTGATCTAAGTGATACAATTTTCATGCACACAAATGAGTGATTGTTGCAAGTTAGTTCATACTGATGAATACGTGCAAGGTCTAAAAATGTTTAAATCATCAACTCCGTGTAAAATAGAATGAATTCAAATAGGGAAGTTACTTCCCGTCACCCAAGTAGTGAATAGCTTAGTCCGTTTCGAAATCTCCTTTAAGCTAGCAAACACACACTAATGAGACATAATAATTTAACATGTGGTGGCCTAAGTCTTTCCTCGATAAAAATATATTTTCTTTGTCATTTTTCTCTTCGGCTTGATGTGGACAATTAGCTCGCCTTTTCATAACCTTTCATTCATAAATCCCTCAAGTCAAGACGTTACTCGATGGTTAGTTGACATCTAATTAGTAGAGTTGAGTTTTGACCTATAAGTCCTTAGGATTCAGTTCTAAAATATTTTAACTAATTATTTAATTTTTTTTTTGGTTATTTTAGTTATCAATGGTATAAAAAATTTAAGGTAATTAGTGGAATCTTGAATAGTATGTGGTTGACATATACGAAGATCATGTTGAAGTAATAACTTAAAAGATCTATAATATATGAATAAGGTTAGGTGTCTTATTTTGGTAATATTATTAATACGACCTGTTTTGTAATTTGTACAAATGATTTGATCCAAATCATCCATGTTGGGAGTGGTTCGACACGTGTGTCGCACGTGGAGGAAGCTAGGCGAAGCTTAGGTTAGCACGTGGGTGGGGATCTAGGTCGGGTTGGAGCATGATGTTGAGCTGCGTCTATGTTGTTTGGCATATTGGGTCGATACCAAGTCACTGGGTTGTGCGTAGGGTGGTTGTTGGACGCGTGTTTATTCGACTGTAGACTATTGTTCAAGATTAGACTAATAACCTTAGATTTTTTTGTATAATGGATAATGTTGAATGGTAATTAAAACAATCAAAATTATTATTGAAAATTAAATAATTAATCATGAGGCTTTATGACATAAATTTAACATTACGAACTATGAATTGTGCCCTTTTATCCTGAGGTAGAAGCTAGTATATGTACCGTTTTATGATCGATTAGAATATGGTGGAATGAGTTAACCAATAGGATGCCCTATAACGAGTCATATGCTAGATACCACGCGATGTCAAATGGTTAGAACTCAACTTAGCCTTTGTTATGCCCTGACTTATATCACCAAAGACGAGGTCTACTTCCTTATGATTGACGGTGCAACATGGGGACTAGGGATAGTTAACAAACTTTATTAGTAAATCTATCGTGACCGATGGGAGTTCACACATGTACCTAGGATAACCAGATGATGATACAAATAGGGTAGTATCTCGAGATTAGAAGTTTATTGTGTTAGTATCCTGTGTGAAAATGAACAAGGGTCTCCTAACAAGGCTTCTAAGCAGTAAACCAACCACAGGAGAATGAGAGACCACATAGATACTCAGTAGTAGGTAGACACGAGGTCGCTCTCTCTCACAAAACATGGCATGATGTTATCAACCTACTAGAAGTCATCAGCTACCGAACTTAGGGGTATTTCCTGTTAGCTTAGAACTTAGATACGTGGTATTCAACTCCAAACTGGGATTTGATTTAGGGCCTATAAGAAGACCGCTTATTAAGTACTTTTATATTTATTCTTGCTACTTCTCTTTTTTAGATGACAACTAAACCTAACGTTGATGACTAGATCGTTTTGGAGCTATACAGCTCTAGAGAATCTATAGATCCGAGTTTATTTTTATTTTCATGTATTTTTCTATTGTATGCCGACTCTAGTCTTAATTTTTTCTTTTGTATTTGTCTCCCGAGTACCTGTGTTGTAAACTAAACTATTTTGAATGACTTTTATCTTTTATATATATATATAGACACACACGATGAGGTTCTCATTCACTTTTGTCTCTTATATTTTAAATAAAAAAAATTATTGAGTTTTTCGAACACTTTGTCAATATGCAACGGTCTGTAGCATGATTCCATAAAAAAATAGATTGTTACATCTCTCTCTCACCACGATCATAAGTTGTCTCAAAGATTAAGTCATAAGAGCTTATGCTCAAAGTGGACAATATCATACTAGTGTGGAGAGTCGTGTTTATTTAACATGGTATCAGAGTCATGCCCTAAACTTAGCCATGTCAATAGAATCCTCAAATGTCGAACAAATAACTCTAAAAGAAAAGGAGTTCAAGCTCCTCGAAAGCATAGTAAAAAATGACTGAAACTCCAAAAGAAAAAGGAGTCGAGTCTCGATTAAAAAGAGACGTACTTTGTTCGAGGGGAGGTGTTGGATGAAAGTCCCACATCGGCTAATTTAGGGAATGATCATGGGTTTATAATCAAGAAATACTCTCTCCATTGGACTGAGACTTTTTGGGAAGCCCAAAGCAAAGCCACGAGAGGTTATGCTCAAAGGGGACAATATCATATCATTGTGGAGAGTCGTGTTCATCTAATAAAAATAACAACCAAATGGTCATATTTGTATCACCACCCACCCAGTGTTCTTAAAATAATGTTAGAAAGCAACAAACAAGGAAAATGAAAGGTTAAATGCATACAAAAACCACACCTAGTTCTTAACCAGCTATGAAAAAGAATCCAATCACCATATCCAAAGCAAAACTTAACCCATAAATATAAAGCTTAGCGACCACACAATAGAGCATTATTGTTCTATGTCCAAGTGAGCAAGATGCGGCGGCAGTTGTTGAAGGTTGTGGCCACCGCTGTGCTTGCAGCTGTGAGCTGTTGCTGTGCTGCTGATGGGGATTGGTTGGTCGGCGTCGGGAGCTTCGACATGACTGGCCCGGCTGCCGAAGTCAACATGATGGGGTATGCTAATATGGATCAGAGCGCTGCGGGGATTCATTTTAGGCTCCGAGCGAGGACGTTTATTGTTGCGAAGAGCATCGATGGGCCGAGAATTGCGTTTGTTAATTTAGATGCTGGCATGGCTTCGCAATTGGTCACTATTAAGCTTCTCGAGAGGCTCAAAGCTAGGTATATACGATAAGTTAATAATAAACGTCTTTTAACTTGACATTTTGTCTATAAAATACTATTGAACAGAGTATTCCTTACTTATAAACTCATGATCAACCCTTTAATTAGTCGATATAGGACTATTCTCTCAATAATCATCAACAATCCTCCCCTCGCACAAAATATACCACAGAGCCTCCCCTGAGGCCAATGGAGCTCTTGAACAGCCTCCCCTTAGTCGAGGCTTGACTCCTTTCTCTGGAGCCCTTGAACAAGTACACTCTTTGTTCGACACTTGAGTCACTTTTGGCTTGAACAAAGTACACCATAGAGCCTCCTCTGATGTCTTTGGAGCCCTCGAACAACCTCCACTTAATTGAGATTTGACTCCTTTCTCTGAAGCCCTCGAACAAAATACACCATTTATTCGACAATTGAGTCACTTTTGACTGTACCTTTGAGGCTCACAACTTTTTTGTTCAACATTTAACGATTCTATCGACATAACTAAGTTAAGGGCACGACTCTAATACCATGCTAGAAACCACGAACCTCCACAATAGTATGATATTGTCCACTTTGAACATAAGCTCTCGTGACTTTGTTTTTTATTTCCCCAAAAAACGTCATACCAACCGAGATAATATTCCTTACTTGTAAACCTATGATCAACCCCTTGATTAGCAGACGTGGGACTCCTCTCCCAACAATCCTCAATACTCTTAACAATATCGATAAAGATGATTATTTTTATTACTTCAGCCTTACATTTTTGTCGAAACTAAAACCACGACATTTCATACAAAGGTTCGGAAATCTATACACAGAAGAAAACGTAGCGATAAGCGGAATCCACACACACGCCGGCCCAGGCGGCTACTTACAATACCTAGTCTACTCCATAACATCACTCGGCTTCGTTCAACAATCCTTCGACGCGATCGTCAACGCAATCGAACAAAGCATCGTCCAAGCTCACGGAAGCCTAAAACCAGGGTTCATCTTAATCAACAAAGGTAAGAAGAGCATGGTTGAATAATGATCAACTTATGGATAGGGTTGTTGAATGAAAGAAGTAGTGTGGATGTTGCAGGGGAAGTGGAGAATGCGGGGATCAATAGAAGCCCAAGTGCTTACCTTATGAACCCACCGGAGGAACGAGCTCGATATCCAACCAATGTGGACACAGAAATGAGCCTTGTGAAGGTGGTGGAGGGAGGCAGTGGGAAGAGCCTTGGCGCCTTCAGCTGGTTCCCCACGCATGGGACTTCGATGAGTAGAGATAATAAGCTCATTAGTGGTGATAACAAGGGCGCTGCTGCCAGGTTTTTTGAGGACTGGGTCGCTGCCTCCAACCGTTCTACCAGAGCCACCTCCTCCAATAAGTCAGGTCAATTGGAAAAGTTTTTTTTTTTTTTTTTTTTT